TTTTTTGTTCTCCAAACCCTAAAAAACGACGTTCTTAATCGATTAACCTTAAACGATCATTTCTTTTAATCGATCCTTACCAAAATCGATCTCCACCTCACACAATTGATGTATTTTAATAGGATTTAAATGTCTTAAATACCGTTAATGACATGTTTTCGTTTAAATAATGCTAATTAATTTAGATATAAATTTCAAAATGATGATGAATAAATATGAAATTATATAAATTTATCTATAAATTCAACACTATAATTTTTTAATGGATAAAATAAAATTTAAATAAATTCAAACATTTAAGGGCTATTTGGTAGTTGCTGAATATTTTAGTTCAAAATAATTAAGTGATCAGAATGATTAGTAGGCTCTCATGATGTAGTGCAGAATAAAATATAATTGTTTGGTATTTGTTTACAATGAAATTAGAACACTTAATGGTTAAGGGAGGTTTAGGTAACAAAATCATTCAGAGGGTTTTAGAACCATAATGAAACGTACTTTTTTTTTACCAAACAAGATTCACCTCTTAACGATTCAGAGTCTGCCTCTTAATGGAACTATTAAGAGGTAAACAAACAACCCCTTAGCAATTTATAAAAATAACAATCTTATTGATTCAGATTTCAAACTTTACATCCACTTCTTATTAATAATAAGAAGTAAAATAAAATTTCAAGACTTTTGTAACTTAAAAAAATTTTTTTTTTTTACCTCCATATTACATGTTTTCGTTGAAGAAGCTTGAATTTTCCATTTGTAAATACGTTAGGAGGGTGTTTACTTTGCCTCTTAGGTAGTGTTTGGTACGCAGACTGGATGAGACAGGACGGGACGGGACAGGACAGGACTAATTGTCTGTCCTATGTTTGGTACGACTAGGACAGGACGGGACAAAACTATTAAAATAACCATATTACCCCTAAATGTTGTTTAATGTTATTTTATATCATATAATAATTGTAAAATTACAACAAATCAATCAAAATATTGTCATTTTAACTTTAGTCCCATGTTGTTCTACCTTTTTTGGTGGAACAAAAAAAATCAAGATTTGTCCCACTAAAATTAAAAATAGTCCCACCTTGKCCCATGTTTTTTTTGTCCATGGCATGCCAAACATGGGACTATTTCATGTAGTCTGCATACTAAACGCACCCTTAACGATTTCCTCCAAAAGACAAGCTTTGATTCGGTCAGATGTAATAAAGAAACTAGAAGCCACTGAACCGTTCCAACAGCCCCTGAATCGTTCAGTGTCAACTTCTCGTCTCTAACACGCCGTCCTCTGCTACTCGTCTCTTCCTCCTGCCCTCTGTTGCTCTCTCTCACTGCTCATCTCTTCCTCCTGCCTCTGTTGCTCTCTCGTTGCTCGTTTCTTCCTCGCTGGTATCTCGAATTTTCTTCTGCTGATATGTGGCTTTTCTTCTGTTTCTAGGGTTGCTATGAAGTTTTGATTTCGTTACATAAAAGGAAGGGATGTTTGGTCGTCGTCGGAGTTGAAGGGATTACCAATCGTCGTCGGAGTTGAAGGGATTACCAATCGTCGGAGTTGAAGGGATTACCTTCCGCCTCTGCCTTYCYTCTCCGTCGCCATCCTTAGCCGCCGCTCAGGCCTTCCGCCTCTGCCTTCCCTCTCCGTCGCCAGCCTTAGYCGCCGCTCAGGCCTTTCGCCTCTRCCTTCTCTCTCCGTCGCCAGCCTTAGCCGCCGCTCAGACCTTCCGCCTCTGCCTTCTCTCTCCGTCGCCAGCTTCRATCGACGTTCTCTTCCGGCAGGCGCTGCTTTCCTTCAGCAGGTGCCGACGCCGTTCATCAGGTTTGAAACTAAACATTCATTCCTCTTGTTAATACTCCATGTTCTGGTGGATTAAGGGAATGTCTTTTGGGTTATGGGAAATGGATTGAGGAGGAAGATGCCATGTTCTGGTGGAAATGGATTGGGCATGTCTTTTGGGTTAATACTCCATGTTCTGGAGGAGGAACGATCATGAAGGGTAATCCTGGAAAAATGAGACTCTGAACCATTAGGCTACCCCTTAGATGCTAAATCGTTAAGAGGTAATTGTCACCATTAAGAGGCTCATTTTTTTTTGCCAAACAGCCTCTACCTCTTACCGATTAAGAGGCTCCCTCTGAATGTCGCCATTAAGAGGCAAACAAACAGCCCCTTAGATTCATCATTCATGACATTTTTTTGGTTTAATGTAGTTGATTTTTTTGGTGTATAAAATCTTTGGAAATAAGCCACCATTGTGGACTGTTACTTTAATTTGTTAATTACAGTACTGGGAATTTGCTAGTCTTCATTGTTGCAATCCTTGATGGGTTATATACATAATAGTTCAGCATACGAGATTTACATAAATGATTATGGTTTTCTTTTATGAGCATAGAGCACCCACTGTTTGATAAAATTCATAAATGAACAACGCATGTTCAATTTGAAGTAGAACGTGCGACGGAGTTTGATTAACATTGCAAATTCTTCTTCTGCTAAACCCATTGAGGCTAACCCCCTTCATCTCCCTTTCTTGGTGTCTTTGGGTGCTTCTAATTTCGATTGACAATCCAAGGAACCAAGATTCTGATAGGTTAGTAGTTGTTAATAATTGGAAACCTTTGTTAAATAAGCGAAAAAGATGTTGCCCATTTATATTAATGGCTACAATGATTCTTGAAATGGGATAAGGAATGAAAAAAGATAAGTTCTATTTGATGGATATCAGGGGGAAGGTTGGGGATTTGAATCACAAATAGTACAAAAGAACTTGGGATTCTATTATGTGGTGAGGTTGGGGGTAGAAACCTCCTTAAACTAACAACGATAATTGTAAGGCTGCTTTTGGTACATGGGACAGGATGTGACAAAACTTACTCTCCATGTTTGGCGCAACATGGGAGAGAACAAAAACTCACTGTCCCACTTTTGGCGTGATATGGGACAGTGATAAGAACTGGGACAAGGTGAGACAACATGAGAGAGAAGAGGTTTTTTCTTGTTCCACCAAAATAGGTGGAACAAGCTAGGACAAGAATGATACATAAACTAAAATATTACTAATCTACCCTATAGTTTGATTATGGTATTTGTTATAATGGTCATCACCGCTAGTTTCGGCCGCTGCCGCCACCACCGGCAACCACCTCCACCTCTTCCACTACAACAACATCCTCCACAGCCACCGTCCACCATCGTCCATCGCCACCTCTACCATAGTCGACCACCACCACTACCGCCATTCGCCACCTCCAACTCCTCCTCTACTACAACAACCTCCTTCACCACCTCCACAACCACCGTCGACCACCGACTACCACCGTCAATTGCCACCTTTACAACCACCATCGGCCGCCGATCGCCACCACCTATTACCACCAACACTACCACCGTTGGCCACCTCCAACTCCTCCTATACCGCAACAACCTCCTCCATGACCTCCACAACCACCGTCGACCACCGACCACCACTGTTCATTGCCACCTCTACAACCATCATCGACCACCGACCACCACTGTCCATTGCCACCTTTACAACCACCATCGGCCACCAACCACCACCATACATTGCCACCACCGTCGACCACCGACTACCATCGTCAATTGCCACCTTTACAACCACCATCGGCCGCCGACCACACCACCCATTACCACCAACACTACCACCGTTGGCCACCTCCAGCTCCTATACCGCAACAACTTCCTCCATGACCTCCACAATCACCGTCGACCACCGTCGACCACCGACCACCACTGTTCATTGCCACCTCTACAACCATCTTCGATCACCGACCACCACTGTCCATTGCCACCTTTACAACCACCATCGGCCACCAACCACCACCATACATTGCCACCACCACTACCACCGTTGGTCACCTCCAGCTCCTCCTCTACTGCAACAATCTCCTCCAGGACCTCCACAACCACCGTCGACCATCGACCACCACTGTTCATTGCCACCTCACCTCCACCATAACCACCACCACCACTATCTTCACTACATCAGCCACAACTACCTCCTCCCCTTGTTTTTCGGATAGAAATACAACTTCTTGAATCAATGTGTGAATTAAGTCTGATATGCTGCTTGACTTTGTAAGAGACTAACAGAAAGCATCCTGTCGGTAGGATTGATGATTTAAAGCCCCTTTCTATTTGTACGTTGAACATTGTAATGTAGGCATGCAACCATGTGGGCGTAGTTCCAATCCATTTGTTGTCCATCATGATTTGCACTACGATGCCTACATACTTGAACTATTTGTTTGTAGTATATGATAGTATGATACTTGAAGCTATGATGTGCTAGGAGCAAGCTTAGCTTACGATGATATTCTATTTCCTTGGTATATTCTCAAATTTAAACATTTGGACTTCGAAAGTTTGTCTTTTAACATTACGCACCAATGACATTTTTTAGATAGATGTAACAACTATGAGTGAAAGAATTTGTGCCTTTTTATGTTGAATTTGATTGTTCCGTTTTTGTTTAATCTAGAACTTGAACAAATAACGTTATGTTAAATCATAAAGAGGGTTATCAAACAGTCATATTTATTCGGCGTTTATACATAGGGTTAAAATGGTATTTTTTGTCATAAAGATTGTTCATCATGAACACTTACCGAACATTCATTTTTCATTCTGCACTACATCATACAGGGCCTCTTAATCATTTTATCCACTTACTCATTTTGCACCGGATCATTCCGCATCTGCCAAACGGCCCCTAAGTTTAGCATATAGGGTAAACCAACCATTTTCTTTCATCTCTTCCACTAAAAGGGTAATCCGACAGGGCACAGGGGTTGTCACTGCCTAGTTAGGAGAATTTGTGTCATTTTGCATTATAACCTGATACAGGGTTTTCAAAATACAATTCTCAATTAAAAAGATCAAGAATTCATGCTGGCAGTATCCCAAACAGAAGAACACAGGGTCTTTTTACTTATATGAACTGGCAGTGTGATGTTCCTCTTTCTTTTACTAGTTCCTCAGTGATTATGCAAAAAATTGCAGGGCACCATCCAGAGGCTTAGAATTCTGTACCAGTGCTGAAAGATTTGTATTCTTTGTAGAGCAAACAACCATTCTTCCGATGCTCAGGCTTCTATTTGGAGATAGGTAAGACTTGTTATTCTTGTCATCCATCATGATCTTATCTTGTCGTTATTAGTTTTTCAATTTTCTGTCACTCAAATTTTAATCTGAAGCTGGCACTTAACTTGGCTCTTCTAGTTCTTATACATGTTATTTGGTTACAGATTGACATGTGGCGTGCGTGTCAAGCATCGATTATTTACTTTCTGTTATGTGTATAGGTTCTTGTCATGGTGAATCAAAAACCCTGCTTTACCTTCTTTTGTTCTCTTCTTTAGGGTTTAATCTGGCTGGCTGCATATTATTCCTATATTTGGGGAAGATGATCACTTAAAAGTAGATGTGGCAATTTGGTTTTTTTTTTCTAGGGGGGAGGGGACAGGATGGGTAAAGGGTTAAACGGTATTTTTTTAGGTGAGATAATATCGGGTTGGCTTGACCCGTCTACACATTTTTGTCTATACTTTGGATTTCATACAAGTTTAATGTATTAAATATGGTTATAAAAATTATAGTGTTAAAATAATCTGATTGTTTTTGAATAAAATGCTTTAGTAGGTTGTAAGCATTTAATACACTACGTGTGACTTTCAACCTGTGTGGCTTGTTTCCTTTTTAGCTAATTAGTTTACTTTATCGTTTGACTTGTTAGAGATAAAATATAACCTAATTCTACCCATTTTAGGTAAACGAATTGAATTTGCCGCCTGTACTTTAGAGTACTTGCCCTTGTCTGCATGATCCTATTACCTAATCTCCATGTTTGGATGGTGCTGTTGTATCAAATGGTCACTTGAAAATTGCAATAAAGTTGTTGTCCCATTTCATTTGAATTTAGGGTCCTGGGTCATAAAGAATGCTCTCTTTCTTGTGATCCACTGGTATTGTCCCTCGTACCCAAGATAAGAAAAGGGTTGCATAACCTTATTACTGTTCTGCATGGCCTCTTGGCTTTTACTGACATTCATGAATTCTATTTATTTTTGTGGAATAGCTGCTAGGAGAAGAAAGAGGGAATATGTGTAGAACAATTGTTGTCTTCCTTTCTTTTTGTGGAAGCAGTACTCACTAGTATCTAGTACATAGCCCTAGTTCTTACTTCGTAGATGGATGAGGTCACATCATTCTTTTGGCCAAAAAAGCTATAGAGGTATCAATGATAAAGCCTTTGATACCATGTCCCATGATGTACTCCCATCAGAAAGCATGAACTAAGAAGCGAGTGAAGGAACTTCATTGCATAACTTCAATTCTGTCATATAACTAGTGTCACTATCATTGTTTTTGTTATTTGTACAACTCCTATTATGTCTGCATAGTTTTGTATAAAATTGCTGCAGATTAATGTTGTTGGCTGACTAGATTATTGTGTTTTCTCTTCTAGATTACTGCCAAACTTCAAAAGGAACTACTTTCCAGCACTTCTTCAGTCCGATCGGTGTCTTCATACATTATATTCCTCTTTTGCAGATGATACCCAAACTTCATTAAATTACAGTGGGATCGATAACAGGGAGATTGATGTTGACCTCTTATTTGACTCATGCACAAATTCCCAGCTTGCCAAACGCCTTCACACCTTACTTATTGTGTTGGGTAAGGTCCAAAGTCTATTCATTTCCACAAGGCTTATCAACCTTCATGCCAATCTTGGTAATATCTCTTTATGTCAACAAACTTTTGATCAAATCCCTATAAAAGATGTTTACACCTGGAATTCTATGATATCTGCATATGTCCGCAACGGCATTCCTAGTGATGCTGTGAATTGTTTATATAAAATGTCGAGGTATGAAGTTAAGCCTGATTTCTATACTTTCCCCCCTGTGTTAAAAGCATGTCGTAATTTAAATGATGGGAAGAGGATACACTCCTGGATATCCAAAGCAGGGTTGGAATGGGATGTCTTTGTTGCTGCTTCTTTGGTGCATATGTACTGCCGCTTTGGTTTGTTTGATGCTGCTTACCAAATATTTAGGAATATGCCCTTTCGAGATATGGCTTGCTGGAATGCTATAATATCTGGGTTTTGTCAGAATGGGAAGGGTGAAAAGGCATTGGAGGTCTTGGATGAGATGAAATTTGAAGGGATTAAAATGGATTCTGTTACTGTATCCACCATTCTTCCTGTTTGTGCACAAATGGATGACATGGTGCAAGGAAGATTGACACATTTGTATGTCATAAAGCATGGACTGGAATCTGATTTATTTGTTGGCAATGCCTTCGTAAATTTCTATGCAAAATTTGGTGAACTTGAACATGCTCAGAAGATCTTCGATAATTTGGTGACAAGAGATTTGGTATCATGGAATTCAATAATTGCTGCTTATGAGCAGAATGGTAATCCTGATTGTGCACTTAACCTTTTTCATGAGTTGCAAATAAATGGATTTAAGCCTGATTTGCTGACACTAGTAAGCGTTGCTTCCAGTATTGCTCAATCAAGGGACTCTCAAAGCAGCAGATGTGTCCATGGTTTCATCCTAAGGAGATGTTGGTTTGTAAAAGATGTCATAATTGGAAATGCGGTGGTGGACATGTATGCAAAACTGGGAGATATGGACTCTGCTATCAAACTCTTTGGAAGTATCTGCTTTAAAGATGTAGTTTCTTGGAACACATTGATTACAGGATATGGACAAAATGGCCTTGCATGTGAAGCCATTGAAGTTTACCGTATGATGGTAAAGACTGAAGGCATAATGCCGAACCAAGGAACTTGGGCGAGCATTATACCGGCTTATGCTCACATAGGAGCCCTAAAAGAAGGGGCTACAACTCATGGGAGGGTCTTGAAATCAGGCCTGCTTTCGGATGTCTTCATTGGAACCTGTTTAATCGACCTTTATGGAAAATGTGGAGAAGTGGAAGATGCATTATCTTTATTCTATCAAGTACCTAGAAAAAGTTCAGTTCCCTGGAATGCTGTGATATCTTGTCTTGGCATTCATGGACATGGAGATAAGTCTCTGCAACTATTTAGGCATATGCTTGATGAAGGGGTTCAGCCAGACACTATAACTTTCATTTCCTTATTATCAGCATGCAGCCATTCAGGTTTAGTTGAGCAGGGTGAGCGGTTCTTTAACTTGATGCAACATGATTACGGGATCAAACCTAGCTTGAAGCACTATGGCTGCTTGGTTGATTTGCTTGGTAGGGCTGGCCAATTAGAAAAGGCTTATAATTTTATAAAAAGTATGCCTTTGCAACCCGATGCTTCAGTTTGGGGTGCTCTTCTTGGTGCTTGTAGGATTTATGGAAATGCGGAGTTGGGTAAAGTGGCTTCAGATCGCTTGTTAGAAGTTGATCCGGATAATGTTGGATACTATGTTTTGTTGTCCAATATATACGCAAATGCTGGAAAGTGGGAGGGTGTGAATAGAGTAAGATCGTTAGCTAATAGCAAGGGATTAAAGAAGACTCCTGGATGGAGCTCCATTGAACTAAACAATAAGATGGAGGTTTTTTACACGGGGAACCAATCCCATCCCCAATGTGATCTAATATACGAAGAGTTGGAAAATTTAACAGCCAAAATGACGATTCTTGGTTATATTCCAGATTATAGCTTTGTGTTGCAAGATGTTGAGGAGGATGAAAAACAACATATCCTTACAAGTCATAGTGAGAGATTGGCAATTGCATTTGGAATCATTAACACTCCTTCTAAGACCCCTATTCGGATCTTCAAGAACTTGCGGGTTTGTGGGGATTGTCACAATGCCACCAAGTTCATATCCAAGATTACTGAGAGGGAGATCATCGTGAGGGACTCTAATCGTTTTCATAATTTCAAGGATGGTGTATGTTCTTGTGGTGATTATTGGTAATATTTAAGTTCAATCCACCAAAAACAGACAAAATCCAGTTTGGAATCTCTCAGATAATGCATCAATCATCAGGTTTGAGATTTCCAACTTCAGGCTTATAGATTTTGGCGGCCTCTACTCTTGCACATACATGTTTTTTCTCTCTTTCACACACTTTTCATAAGCCGGAGTCTTCATAGTATGAAACAGAATCTTTGAGGTATAAGTCAGGTTTGCATTGACCCCACCTTCTAGTGTGTTGGTGGGATATACCGGCAACATATGTTTTTTATTATATGCATTTTGTTTTTGGTAAATTTTATTTGATGATTCACTTTCATATATTTGTATTTGATGCTTAGTTGAAATTAAAATTAAAAAAGCCTTGAACTGCAATTCTCTTAATGCGTCACCGTCAAACACATGCTTAATAACGTTTTTCATCTTCTGGGTTTAGATGCAAATCTGCTTATTACTAGTCAATATTTTATGACTTCTTTTTCCTTATATGAAAACTTGTGACTGGGTTTAAATCGAGCTTTTATTTGGCTTTATAAGCAGTAATATTTGGTCTTGAACTTGCTAAACTGCCCTTTTCCTTCATTTGTACGTAATATGCCTAGTATCTATATATATATTGGGGATTTGTGTTGTTTGATGATGGGTATTATAATCTTTGCGCTAAATGTTCACTTCTGCTGTCATAGTGGTTGATTTCAGGATGAGGTCCTAGCTGTTCCTTGCTTATTATGTTGTTTACATCGAATGTTTGCATATGCTAAATAATTAAACAAGAAGGGGCCGTTTACTTACCAGGTAAGCATTACCGGGAAGAGTCATCATCCTTGATTATTTTACCGGGTAAGATTCTTGGCCATCAAATGGCATAATAAGATTATTAAGCATTTCTTACCCAGTAAAGTTGACCGTGTAAGAGTCAACACCTTGGGTAAGATTTTCAGTTCTTACCATGCTTGCCAGTAAGGTAATTGACCGGACAAGCGTTTAGTAAACTATTCCTAAGTGTAAAGATTTTTTAGAAAGAGCTGATGTTTCAATTGATTTGAAAACGTTTTTGCTTTAAATCATGTTATCGGCTCTTGTGAAAAATCTTTCTCTTTAATGAATTGGTTTAATGCATTCTTTGTGTAATACAAATCACCTGTCATCAAACTCTACATCCCCTTCTTATCCATCCATCAATTTTTGAAAAATTCACTTTATTGAAGAATGAAAATAAAAGGCTGAATTAATATATATATACACACACACACACACTATATTTTAATGCACCTTAAACGATTATTTGTTGAACTTTAAGAGGTACATGCTTTATGTACAAGCTTGAAAGCATCATTAACCTAAACTCTCTTCCACACCCCTGAATCATCTCCCACCACGTTCCTCCCAAAACACATTCCACTTCCCACACCTTGCGATGATATTCAAGCACCCCAATCCCCGTTTCTAATTGGTGCATTCTCTCCCTCAATTAATCGGTCACCGCCAAATCCACCACTGAAATCTCCTCGGCTCACAGGAACTAGAAGTCTAGAGGTTTTGGTTGGGTGCGGAAGATAAGAAAATTACAGTTTTTGGAATGTCGTGGGCGATGTTAGCGGTTGTTCCTTATTCATTCGTTGCCGTTGAACTGGTGACGCAACAATGAAGGCAGAGCCAAGTCTCAACAAGAAGCCAGAGGAAGAACAAGACCGCTTGTTTTGGAGCTAGGAAAAGGGAGCCTCTTTGGCAGTGCATAAAGAATTGTTTTATGTGCTGTAAGCTGGATAAGGGACCCAACTTCCCCTTCCCTGAAGAAATATTTGATGATCTCTTTTGATATTCAGGTACTTCCATTTCTGTTTTTGCACCAATTTCTTAACCTTAACAACTATTACTATTTATGGGGGGGAATATGGTGTCCAAATCATGCCCAGTTTCTTCATTCACACATTTTTTAATGTTATTTGTGTTTTCATTAAGGCCAGTGAGGTTGTTCTTGATACTGTTAGCGCTATGCAAGAAAAATATATACATTTTGATTTTGGGCAAAAAATTTAAATCATTTTCAACTCAAGTTGGTATTGGCTTTTCTCAAGTAACCATACCAGATTTGATCTCTTTAATTGCTATCAACTTCAATGTAGTTGTCAATTTATGGATTTTCTTTTATAAATTAAACTTAAAAATTAATGGGGTTGAAGTCAAAAGTGAAATGATTACTTTGTAGGGTTTATATCTAACATGTGAATTACGATTTTTCGTTCAGCTATATAAATCTTCGGTGGGTTCTGATGGGTGGTGCATACACTTTGAGAAAAGCACAAGAACATGCTCCATATACGTTCTTTAGCATTTTCTCCATGATCTTATATGACTATTAGGTTTCGATACTATTAAGGACTAAAATAAATATCGTATTATTTTTCCTTTATTCCAGGTGTATGGCTGTGATACAGTGATGGTTTGTTAGGTTGTTTTGCGTTTGTCTATTGGCTTTTATGTTATGTGTCCCCCTTTTGAGTGGGTAGTATAGAGCAATAACAAGATTTCATTCCTCTCCAAATTTTTTGCCCTAATATTTCTGTGCATTGAGTTTGAGATTATCTGAATCATTTTGGTAGAGCATCCCAATGCAACATGATATAAGATCTTCTTCCAAAATGGGGAATGCACGTTATTGTACTCCTCATTCCCTGATCTTGTGTCTCTATATTTCTGCGTACATACCCTCTGATGAGTACTAAAATCACATACCAAGATATGATGAACCCTCTATTTCTTCATACCTCTGGTAAAGCAAACTCTATTTTAAGTTGATAAGCTTCAAGGATCCTCAGATTACAGAGCATCGCAGATCCATGGAGATCAACCTGCCTTCAGAAAGAAATTGGGTTTTGTTAAAGGTGCAATTCCTATCTCCTCTCCAGAAATGTGGAAAACATGTAATAATATGGTAATTGCTTGGATTACTAATGATGTTCCCCCCATTATCAAGAAATTAATCATGTATATGACATTTTCCAAAAAGATTTGGATGAACTTGGAGAAATGATTTTGTTTAACAAACGGGGATGAACTTTGTTTAACAAATGGGTCTAGAAAATACAAATTATGCAAGAATTTGTATGAGGTAAAACAAAACTCAATGCCTGTGAATGAGTATTATATGCTAATGAAAGCCCTGGGAGGAATTAGACTGCATAAACATGCTTGCTTCCTATTGTTTCTAACCCAACTGCAGATGTGGAAAAACTAATTGTGGTCATAACCTTCAAAAAGAGGAATCTAGACTATTCCACTTTCTAAATGGTCCGGATGAATCCTTCAATTCTAGAGGAGTTAATTGTTGATACAGTTGAAACTGCTTGTGCTGCCCTTGAAGAAGAAGTAGCACAAAGGGTTGTGTTAAATCTGTCTAAACCAGACAATGACCTGTTAGCCATGTACAACAAGACTCTCCCAGATAAACTATTGATATGTACTGCATGTGGGGGGAAAGGACACAATGGAGAAAGTGTTGGACAGTTTTTGTTTATCCAAAATGGCACTCCAAGCATAATAAAAACAATGTTCCCAAACTCAGGTCTCAATCTACATCGTCTGCCATACAATGGTCTAATTCCTCAAGAATGGCAGCTTCGGTTCAGGTTAATGCACCTAAGAATGACAACTTTGGTTTGTTGTTCATCCCTCAACAACTTGAACATTTGGCCAAGTTGGTGCCTCAACTGCAAATGTGCAATGCTAAAGGTTCAGAAACTGATGAAGAACTTGATAGCCACCTCTCTGGCATGATATCATGTAATTGTCCATGACAAGTGATCTGAGTGGATCATAGACTCTGGAGCTTTAGATCATATGACTCCTTATATGCGCAACTTGAATCAGCCCATGCTGTCTCTCATTCCACTAAAATAACTCTTCCCACAGGAGATGCTGCAATCATATCCCACACTGGTCAAGTAGTTTTGCCTTCTGGTTTGACTTTGAAAAATGTCTGATATGTCCCACATTTCAAACATAATCTCCTCTCAGTGCAAAAGATAATCAAGGATAATCAATGTGAAGTTCAATTCTTCTCTACACAGTGTCACCAAGCAACTCAGAGGCGTGGGTCAAGCAAAAAATGGGTTGTACTATCTGTTCAATGAACCCTTTCTCAATTCCACATGCCTTGCAACAAACTCAACCACATCAGAGTCTGTAATACACTCATCTGATATCTTTAATCCTCTGGATTTATGGCATGACAGGTTGGGTCATGCATCAATGTCCAAACTCAGATATATTCCTTGTGTTCAGGCCTACACTCACGCTCATTCCAAGGTATGTCTTACATGTCATATGTCTAAGTTCACTAAGCTGCCGTTTTCCCTAGTAAATCCTATGCGTTGGAATCATTTGAACTTTTGCACATTGATGTTTGGTAATCCTACAAAGGGTCTTACAAGGGTAAATTTTTTCACAATTGTTGATGATCATACGAGAAACACATGGCTTGATGCAATTCTAATCTGATTCTCTAACCAATCTGGAAACCTTTCTGGGTTATTCTAGACTCATTTCAGGAAGCACATCAAATTTATCAGATTAGACAATGCGTTGGAATTTGATGATACCAATTGCAAGCAATTTTTTGCTAAACATGGCATCGAACATCATGTGTCAATAGACCACAACAAAATGTGAGGGCAGAAAGAGAACACAGACATATTCTTGAAATTGCCAGGGCGTTAAGATTTCAAGCCGGTCTTCCTCTTTCTTACTGGGGTGACTATGTGATGGCAGCTGCTCATATAATCAATAGACTTCCTACCTCGGTATGAGGTACTCTTTTAATCCCCACCCACCTATGATCATCTCAACTCTTCTTCAACTCGGATATCATCAGTCTAGTCTGTTTGTTAATCATATTGGTGACACTATTACATTGGTCCTTATCTATGTGGATGATTTGCTGATCAGTGGCAATAACATGGCCACTATCAATACCCTCAAGCAAATGCTTGCTAAAGTTTTTCATATGAATGATCTTGGTACTTTGCAGTATTTTTTAGGTCTGGAAGTTGACATAACTCCTGCTATCTTTATTTCCCAGAAAAAGTACACTCTGAATATTCTTAAAGCATATGGTATGATGCATGTCAAACCTCTTCAATTTTCAATGGATACCCATCTGAAGCTTACACCAAAGAAAGGGGATCTTCTTTCTGATCCTACAACGTATCAAAGGCTCTTGGGTAAATTAATTTATTGGACAATTACAAGGCCAGGCATTACCTTTACTGTTTGTTTGTTGTCTCAGTACATGCATCAACCAACCATTATTCATCTTCAAGCTGCTAAACGACTATTGAGATATCTGGTTGGCACCATTTCTCAAGGCATTCTTCTTGCTTCTGATTCTACAATGACCGGGCTAGTTGTCCTATGACCCGGAGATCTACATTGGCTACTGCATTTTTCTTGGACAATCCCCCGTCTCTTGGAAGACAAAAAAACAACCTGGGGTTGCAAGATCATCAGCAGAGGCTGAATACAAAGCCATGGCGCTCTCACAACCTGTGAAGTCACTTGGCTTTCTGTTCTTCTCAAAGATCTTGGCCTCAAACATCTTCCTCCTACAGTGCTCAAATGTGACAACAAGGCTGCCTTGGCTATTGCCGCTAATCCCGTCCCACATAAGAGAACCAAACATGTGGAAATTGACTGTCACTATGTTCGAGATCAACTCAAGACTGGTACCTGATAACGCCATTTTCAGCGTTATTCTGATACCTTTTTCCGGGTAGAATTGTCTGTGTTCCAAGCAAACAAAACTTTTTTCTGACGATTTAATGTGAGTCTGTTAAGGAATTGATCTCTCAAGAGAGACAAAAGAATTCTGGGATTTGGAGCCTAAAGTTAAGATTTTACATTACGGATGAGTAGAGGAGGCTAACAATATTTTACAGAGAGAAATCAAAGCCAGAATCGGAAGAATTAGAGCAAAAACAGTGGCGACGGTAAGTTTCCATGCGAGTTGGGTCACCTTGTGTTCTTGGGTGACTATTCCCGTTGCGACAGTCCCTGGTCGCGTTTGGGTAAGGTTTGGAACTATTCAACATTTTATCCTAAAACCTGCAGTTGGGGGTGATTTTCCAGACCTTTCTTGGTGGAGTTGGGCAGGGATTGAAGATACATAAACGCTTTGGAAGTAAAGATTAATAAAGATTCAACCAGTGTTCGTGGGTATTGAGCTTCACGAAGGGAGTTTTACATTTATCCAGATTTTGATTGAGAAACCAATTTCTGAAGCTATGACTTCTACTCTTTTGGTTTTGTTTTTAATCACCCCCAACATGAACTAATCTTTTGATGTTGGGGGTTGGATGAATTTTAGAATTTTAGCTATTAAGCATATGAACACTTAGATTGTGGATTTTTATTAAGGTTTTTAATTAAAGAAGCATATGAGTTGTTTTTAATGTTGTTATCCTGATCAACTACCAACTATTCGGAAATAGAATAGTTACAAGAAACAAATAGAGGGAAAAATAAGAGGTTTTGGAACCTTACTCTTGCATCACTTTGTAGACACGAATCAACAAAAGTAAAAAAAATGTTTATCTTGTTTGTGATAAATATTTGTTTCTTCTAATAAGAAATTGATTTGATTTGGTAATTCTCGATTACAAAAATAATACAGTTTCATGGTTATGATCCTTGTTGCATTTCTTCTGTGCAGTAGCTGCATAGATACAATTAAAGCTGTTCATGGCTCTCAATCAAAGGAGTTAGAAAAATTCAAAAATGCTATTAGGAGCTAAGTTACAACATGATAATCTTGGTCTTATTCTTATCATCTTCAAAGTTGTACACTGAATCTAATTTTCTTTCTGTTATGGACTCCTAAAGTTCTCTTGGTACATGAGCCCTAATGGAAACATTGACTGTTGTGACAGGCTGTTGAAGCGCATCAACCTTGTATAGACTGTTCTCTTGATTGCAAATATGAGATTGCCCGGTACCCCTACTCTAGACCATTTTGTGCTTTTTGGAACCTTTCATTTAGGATCTATGAATCCGTTCCAAGATCTGGACCTATGAATGAGGTATATACATATATATATTTGTGGTTAGTGGTTAAGATAAGGTCTGAGTACATCCTACCCCTCTTCGTGTCGTGTGGTTTGGTTTGGTTTATAGATGGATACGTACATGTATATATATATACACACAGTATATTATAAAGCACCGTAAACAGTTAAATGTTGAAAGTTAAGAGGTATAAACCTATGTGCTTAATGTTCAACTGTATAAAGCACCATACAAAAAACTTTTTATTTTGAATCTCTTGATTTTCACCTTAACTTTTGTTTTCTAATTCATCTTTGTGCTCAATAGGGAGAAGACAACATGGTCTACCAATGAAGACTATTTGCTAGAGATGAAGTTCAGTCCCTCCATTGATTATGGCTTCTTCGTCAATTTCCACTAAGAGTATAACTTGCTTCATTGCTTTCCTACCCAAAACTCTAAAACTGATCACAATTTTTTTGGACGTTTATTCAATTACAGGTTAATAAAGGTTGATGGGATTATTTGGCTGATGGAAGAGGATAATACTGGACCGATCAACATTAGTAATCCAAATGAATTTACAATGATTGAACGTGCTGAGACAGTGAAGGAGGTTAGTCTTTTTCTTGGATTCTTTTGAAAATCATCACTAGCATTTGAAAAATATGAAACAATTGAATGAAAATGCAGCTAATTAATCTAAGGATAGAGATTAAGATGGTAGAAAACACACCTCATAATCCAGGTAGAGAAAGCCAGACATCACAAATGCAAATAAACTGCTTGGATGGGAGCCAATGATCAAACTTTTATATTTGAAATCATGTTCCTGTTAACTAATTCTTGGGCTTTAGGCCACAAATAATCATGTAGAACTCCAAGCACACGACATCTTCTTGGGCTATTGTCAGACCTCAACTTTGATATTTGCATCATGTTCCTGTTAACTAATTCTTCAAAATATGTTTCTGCAATATCTTCTGGAAATACGTTGGTCGAATTCTGTTTCACAAACCCTTCAGCAAGCCACAACGCGCAGTAACCTTCTTACTGGATTGTCAAATTCAATACGAAAAAGCACTGAATAAAGCAAACATACCTTCAAGTGGTCGGTCAAGTCGTTATAGCAAAGAGACAATATGTTGATAGAGTTTTTCATGCAAGAAAAGACTTGAGACCAGCTGTTTGGATCCTTCATGGAGAATAGACCTGCAAGCAGGACTATATTCAGGGGTAGACCATTGCAACTCTAAACAGTTGCCTTTTTTGATGTTTCTGAAATTAGAGGCCAACTTTTTTCTTTACCAACCTTCTTTTTGAACCAAGCTGCCATCATCACTTAGAGGCATCATATGATGTGAAACTATGTCCACCTCTGTGGTTTCCATTGTTTGTGTAGATGTGAAGACCACTTTACTTCCATTTTTCACATCTGGGAAGGTTTCTTGTATATCTTTCTAGATATTGCAAGTACTTACACCATCTAAGATGATCAAATATCGCTTATTCTTGAAGTAATCTGAGAGCTTCAACTTCATTGCTTTCTCATCATCCAAATTTGTGACTTTATCTGTCATAATATCTGTTGTTTTGAACAAGGATAGCAGGATGTCTTTTGTGGTATACTCCTCCAACACCGAAACCCAAGCACAGAACTGAAAATGGCACTTGATGTTTCTATTTTTGTAGATCATGCGAGCAAGTGTGGTTTTGCCTATTCCCCCTTGACCAACAATTGAGACAAAATGTTCACTTTTTTTAGTGAGCTGCTTCACCAGAACTTCGACATCTTCTTTCAAACCAAAGTGCCCAGTTCTTCTTTGTAGGAAAAGATCGACATTTTCTGAAAGCGTTCTTTGATACCTATAATCTGCATCTCTTCTTCATTGCATGAGTAGCTGAAGGTCAGTTCCTCCATATAGCTGCCATGGTTTGTTGCTTGCATTTCTGAAGTTGAAGAACAACACTCGATGGTTTTATGATTTCCAACCACAGTTTCTTCATCTTTTTCCTCTTCAGTTTGAATTTCTTCAATATGAATCTTTCTGTAAGGTGTATGGGCTTTTAGCTGCATCATTGGGTTGTGATTTTCTTGATTTTCTGGTGGATCTTCTGCCAAGAATTCAAGTTGTTAAAGAAGAAAATATGGTTGGTTAAGAACCCGCATACCTTTCTCTGGCAGACAACAATGAGAGTGAACTTCTCCAATTCTTTCTTCAATGTTGTAGCAGCATTCAGATACTCTTCTGCTTGCTGGTTGATCTCTTTTGTGGAGATCATCAAGTCTCTCATCGAGTTGAGCAATTTCATGATGTCCTGCACTTCATGGCTTATGTATTTGTTTTGGGTTAGTGATTGCCCGTTCAGCATCTCAGTTAGTTTCTGTAACACCACAGATACAACTGCCATTAGATAACAAACTCTCACTATAATAGCACTAGATGTAAGTAAGGTAGCTATGGAGTTTGATAAGAGGAAAGGAACCTTGATCCCTTTTACATATATATGCAAGTTTCAATCTTTTCTCGGTGCTGACCGACCAATCACCCATTATGATCAATTTGTTTAATGGGTGGTTTCATATTTGGTGATTGATGAAGCAATTCATGTGAAGTTTCAGTAGTACGTACATGTAATTGCACATAAGGTACCAAGAAAGAGATTGTTTCTATATGCCTATGTGTGTGTATACAATATATATATATATATAGGAAACTTACCAGGAGACTTTTTGGTTTCTGTATGATTTATAGAAAACGTTTGAAATAAGAATTAGCATACTTAATAGACATCTATAATTACTTACACTTTTTAATTAATTAAATGATAATTTCACTCTTAATTAGTTAAATGATTTTATCAACTGCAATGCAGCGAATAGACGATATGTTGATAGAGTTTATGGTGTGTAAAGCTTGGCATAGGTAGATAGCTCACACCAGTAGAAAATATAGCAATGCTGTTAGGTCAAACTAACCTTGTCTGTTATTAGGACCACAGTATATACGAAGGTTGCGAAGATCCATTTGAGAGATTGGGAGTTTCAAGTCACATAAACATCTAAGAGAACTCGGCAGTAAGAACAAATCAAGTAACAGGTGTAAATCTTACCTTATTTGTTGATAGAAAGAAAACCAAAAGTCTAGACCTCAAATCATTACAACCTCAAATCATTCTCTTTTTCTTTTCTTATGTGTTCAAAGTGTTCTTTGTGAGTGGGGATAACAAAAATAAACGAAAATGATGAATAATGGTTTTGAAGAGAAGACCAAGGCAAGGAAAGCACAGAGAATGAAAAAGAGATACAAGCGATGAACATAAGAGTAAGAGTAGTTTCAGTTCATATTCAATGGCTGCTATGCCTACGTATTTATTTATAGTCTCTTCATGATTTTTGTTGTTGAATAAGTAGTATTTAAACTTAGATAACAAAATCTCTTCAATGAATCTAGTTTTTTAAACCAACAATTGTTATCCAATGGCATTGGAGCAAGTATTTGCAGAGCAAATCAACAATTATGTTGCTGATCTTGAAGACCGAAAGGTATGTTCTGCGAGTTCGAACACTGATATATTAGCAGAAGCAATCATATGCAACAACAGACTTATTTTTGTGAGCTTGATAAAAAATGTTAAGCCAGTTGCACCAATGCAGTTCGGATGGTACTGTTTTTCTCTATATGCCGTTCGAACCATGTATCCTCACATGGACCCAAGCATTCACAAAGGTGGAACTGCAAATATCTTTATAAAGGTAAATTACTGTATGTCTATTAATGGTTTTTTTATATTGAATTGTTTGTTTGACTTTTGTTACCTTTGATCTGTTCCTAATCAGCCACCTAGCCATAAATGCTTGCCCCTACTGGCCAAGAAGCAAATAAGCGCTCAATAAAGCTAAGCAGTATAAAAAATCTTAAATCATAGTTAGGCATAATAAGGATTAATTAGGTTTACCATAGTAATCTAATCATTATGGTTCCATTCTGGCTGGTAATTTTATTTCTGTTTCATCACTTTCTCATGTAATTTTTGAGTTTTTTTTGGAAACTAATATAGGTTAGATTTGTTTCAGCGACTAAATGTCATCATGCCATTTGGGTTGGTTTCGGCGTGGAACAAGCGAAGAAGAATCAAGTCAGAAGGATCATCTTGATCCATGCAAGTTTCTGCGGTTTCCGCAAGTTCCCACCCAAGATTTCTGCAACTTCTAATGGTGAATACTGAACCTTTTGCGGGGTTTATAGACATGTTGCTAATAGTTTTTGGCTGATGACTTGAGTAGTATGTGTTCTTTAGTAGAGGTTGAGAAGGTTCTAGAAGGTGAGGTTGTAGTTGAACATCAAGTTGGGCATGAAGCTATTGTTGGTAATGGAGGTGAAGCTGCCATTGGACATCAAGAAGGGATAGATGAATAGTCGAATACCTTGTATATGACAAATATATGGAATGTGGATGATCTTCAGTAGATAATACTCTTGATATAGATTAGGAATTACTTTGTAATGGTAAGTGATGCAACTTGTGGTAGGGTTGGATTCACGTGAGATCAAGGGTTTTTCTTGAGATTTGTAAGATCAATTTATGTTCATTGATCAACTTTATAAGTTAATGATCTAATGGTCTAAAGTTGTATGGTGGCAATTTTGTGATTATTGAGAAGTCTCGTGGCAATTTTGTGATTATGAATATTCAGATTGTAGATCTAATTCAAGGGTTAAGAATTAGTCTTACAGGTTTCACGAAAAACCCTTGGTTTCACATGATTCCAAGTCACTTGTGGCATATGGTTCTTTGTTTTGGTATATCTTGTGAAAGGGATGGGTGTAACTTTTGTATGCATGCATTTATGTTTTGTTGCATGAATTTGGTATATTTTGGAATGACTAATGGAAGTGATATATTTCATTTATTTTTATTGGTTTACTGTATTTTGTAACTAATTTATTAGATACATTGAGAGAGAAATTGTATATTCCTTTCCTTTTATAAGCATAAAGATTTATCGTAACACGTGGATTTTAGTGTGTATATTTTTAGGTTTTAAATGTATCTTCAACTTTATAATAAACTTTACTCAGTACTTTGAATTAGTTAGGCTTGGTACTAAATAGTTAAGAAATTTAATTTTCTGGCAGCTTTTCTTTGCGCCAGTAAAGGCTGGCCTTCATGGCAGAAAGTTGGAGCTGAAGGGATGTCCTTTAAATCCGATTTTTCTCCCATTTTTGTCCCACTTCTCATCTCCTAACTCATTTCTCTCTCAATCAAATTTGGTCCGCGCATCTCCATTTCACCCAATCGATTCCTTTAAGAGTTCTGTGAGATCAAGAGCTTGGGTTTATGATTAAAGCTTCAGATCATGTTCATCTTCTCCATTAGTTCTTATACCTACCTCCTAGCTTCTTCATTTGAACTCGATTAGAAGACTTTCAAGTGCAATTATTTTCTCATCTCCAAGCATTCAAGAACTTCTAAACAACAAGATTTCAAGTTATCTTCTTCCTCACCATTTCCACCATTTATTGACCTAGCTTTGAGTTTTCTCTAAAAGGGAATTGTAAGTTCATCTTATTCTAAACCTTTATTCTTGTTAAACCTTATATTTTAACCTCATAGAACATCTCGTTTGATATATCTTCATGATTTGGAGTTTTGACCATTTTTTGGTATTTTGGGTGATTAGAGGATCTGACTAAGGTTTATAATGAATTTGAGTTTGGGGTTTACTTTTGGTACATCTCTAAGCTTTGGTTGTGATCCGGTTAAAGTTTCACGAGGTGGGTGTTGGCGGATCTTAAGCCTTCACCGTTTTGGGAGCTAGAGATGGATTTGGAACCTCGGTTTAACCTATTCAAGTTGCTTTGTGAAAACTATGTACATGCTAAAAATGTCCATTTTGAAGTATTAATATGTTTTACTTGAGATCTATAAATATGTGGGTTATTTGGTGAGTTTTGCATATTTGGTATATTTGATCTTATAAATCTCATGAAATACTGGTATTAGGGATTATTTGACATATTGATAAATAAATCATAAGTCTGGGGTCTTTTGATATCTATTTTATAAATGAAGATTATTTGGTGATAACTGCATTTGTAATGTATTTGGTTTGGAAAATGCATGTTGTTATGTTATGAGACATTTAGAAATATAAATGTATGATTTCAATTGAAAAGTGGTTTGTCCCAACCAAATATGAGTTTTTGAGTTGATCATGCTTTAGAATATGTGTTTGCATAAACATTGTTTAAATACGTTTTTATTGATGACTTTCATGTAATAGTCAATTGAGTTGTTGAGCTTTTGGCTCGGTTTTGACTCAGATGAGTCTTGGGAACATTTGTCCGGTTTATTTGCTCGATGTCAAGCTTTGGATTTATATGCAATTACGACATAATTGTATGATATATTACATGCTTTGGGTGCATTAGTCGTTCAATTAGTGTCGTGTAATTTTAGAATGAGATTGTTGTCTTTGTATTCTTGCTAGAAACTATGGATATAATAGAATATTTGGGGTACAGACTCGAAGAGTTGAACTCGATGACCGTATAATCTATAGCAGAGGACTTGAGGTACAAACTCGAAGAGTTGAACTCGATAACCGTGCAGTCCGTTGGTTGGCTAGCATTTCTAGTAAAAGACTCACCTAGGTTATCAGCGGATGACTCAAACTACAGACCATGGGTGGTTGAACTTGATGACCGTATGATCCCTAGCTCGGGCTCGTTTAACGTTGATTTGTGGTTTATTCATATATTCGCCACACTCAACGGATACGGGTCTCCCCCGTCACCAAACGATGTTATTCTCGGATATAATATTATCCATGTTTTCGACATCGTTTTGAGTATGGAGCGTTTTCATATTTTATGGAATTAGGTATGGAACCTTATTTCCCCTCTTGGAGAATTTATGATCAATAGAGAGTTTATTCATGTTTATTATATCTGGACACTAAACCTTATCGATGTTTTGGACCGAGTGTTGGGTTTTGAATCCATATCAAATGGGTATTTTGATTTATAGTTTTAATCATGAGGATAATGAGTTTTAGAAAAGATATTGCTTTTACGATGAGGGCAATTCATATGAGAAATTATGTTTTAAATAAAAAGTCTTTTCAGTTGTACTATTTTATAATTAAGATGGAAACTGTTTGAACTCACTAGGCGTTAAGTCTAACATTTTTATTTATCAGCATGTGCAACATGGCCTCGTTAGGGGTTTGGTACTAGCGATAATGTGAATAGTCGAGTGCTAGTTAGATGTGCAAGAAAGATCTAGCTAATCGATGATGCCTTCGGCAATTGGAGATAGCGACTGTTATGGGATTTTAGTGACAAGGATTAGCTTGTGTATCATTAAAGTTACATATAGCTTCGCTATTCGACATAATTTTAATATTAATTTATAGAAAAGGATTTACCCTATATTTGATGTATTATCAAAAAAAATTAATTAGTTGTTTTTTCCAAATTTCAGGGTCTTACATTTATTTAATTTGAAAAATATTCCGAGACTTGAAGACTCAGAATATGAAAATCTATTAGGATTTTCTAGATTTGTCTATGATTTTAACGCATTAACCAGTTTTATAAGTCAAAATGATCTATTTAACTGGTTTTAGTCCATGATTTATTTGTTCAAAAGAAATCATCTAAAACTTATTGCTCAAAATCGCATAGTCTGTTTGGTTTTCGTGGACTTTTCCCATTTTGAAGTTCCACATCTACAATCACGTTATACCATTTAGAGAGAGGATCTTCTCTTCCTTTCCAATTCGAGTTCTCTTTTCCAACTGCAATCGAAAGTAAGAAAGATGTTCAGATTTGGTCGTTGCTTCAATGACAAAGATTGGAATTCTGCTAACCATGTGTTCCACTTACTCCAAATTGCACATTCTATTTGCTATTAGTAGATTCTGAGTTTGATTGCTTCATATAAATATCGATTGATGTTTGTTGTGGGCTGATACGCGGTAAAACTATTTTAAATTACAGGCCAAGTTACAAGCCAAGGCAGAAAAGCTTCCGGAGGTTCAATCTGGTGTATGGCAGAAGTTATAAGGATGCTTACACAACTCGAGATTTTGGAGCGTTAAAAACATATGATCAAACTTTTCTGGGATCTTTTTTTTAAATATGGGACTTCAACTAACGATTAAATGTTGTCACATTATTTGTTTATGTTTATTTGAATTTTACATCTTTCTACATTTTAACGGTACATGACTAGTGTGTATAAGAAAACAGTCGAATTACATGCGATTTTACACAATAAACCATGGGTAAAATGAAATGTGATTCACACGATTTTCGCCACGACTTGACGTCGCAGACCATGTCCCCTGCACACCCTTGTGTTAACTGTTAGTGTAAAATCACATGTGATTTTACACGTGATTTAGCCATTTTCGTATTCTTCTATTTGGTTAACGTTCTCATTTAAAACTTCAAATATATATAGGGAAAGTTCAAATGAAAAATCCCAAAATTTTGAGAAGGTGATAAGAGATCTCAACTATTATATGAGATTTTCCAATGGTGAAGATCTAAAGGGAAAAGTATGTAAATATAATAAAATTTATGACTAATTTAAAGAACCCTAAGAACCGGTCCTTTCTCTCGAGCATCGTCTTATATTCAGGGTGTACCATCTTTTCCCAATAATAAGGAATATAATTGTCAAGTAAATCACTACTTTCATTTGAGATATACTACATTAATTCGAGTACCACGAAGCAACAACACTAGGAGGCAACAAACATGAACATTAATAGATCAACATTATAGCTATTGATACATAAAAAAATCTCAGTGTTGTCCTGTAACCATTGCCTACATCGAAAAGCACAGTGTTGTCCCAAGACCCAAGTTGTAATGTAAACTTTGAAGACCTGTTGTCTAGGAGAGGTAATGGAATGTTGGTAAACTTATCATATAAGACCATTGAAGGAATACAACAAAAGCTTTTCTATTAAAAAATAAGCAGAACAACTATTATCATAAGTTGAAATGATGATATTTCAAGAACTTATGGTCCATTCATTTCCATTAGTTGCTATTTAGGTTAAATTTATTAAAGGAATTACTAAAGCATAGAACGATAACAAAAGTAAACTAATAATGATGAATCACAAGGGTGGTGTCTGATTGGTTTGAGCTTGGCTCTAAAGGTCAAAAGTACCATGAGGTCTCAGGTTCAAATCAAAGAGGAATAAAAATCTCCTTGTGGCCACGGAGGTTCAAATGCGGTGACTCCGGGCTATCTGCAAAGCAGGTGGTCGCCCTGGGATTAGTTGGCTTGCATAGCGGGTTGGATATCCAGGTTAATTAAAATAATAATAATGTAGAATCTACAATGCAAGAAATATAAAGACAAACCAAGCATTGATAGTTTTCAGAGTTAATTCCCAAGTTTCTATATTGGAGGAAAGTGAACGGAAAAGGCCTTAGGACTACCTCTTTAGTATGATCAAAGTCTATGATAAAACAGTGCAACCCATATTTACCGGTTACAATAAA